AAACTATTTGTTAAGAGGCATGTTGAATCAATAGAAGAATTTTATTTTTTAACCACAAGTTTTTGGAAAATGACTTTTTTTTTTTTTTACACACAAAATTGTCAGTTAAATGATTTACTGCTCACACATGCCATGGGTATATGTGGAATTACTCCCCAAAATACATTCTGTTATGTCTCCTGAGTATGGGGGTACCACATGTGAGAGACGTTTTGGCAGTCTAGCCAAGTACAGGACCCCAAAATCCAATAAGCACCTTCAGGCTTTTAAAAGGACTTTATTTCCTCATTACACTTCCAGACTACCTATCACAGTTTGAGGCCCTGAAATGCCAGGGTAGGACCAAACCCCCCCAAATGACCCCTTTTTGGAAAGTAGACACCCCAAGGAATTTGATAAGAAACATGGTAAGTATTTTGCAGATCTCATTTGTTGCCACAAGTTTTTGGAAAATTAAGAAAAAAAAAACAAAAAAAAATTTTTCTATTTTTTTTTATATTTCAAAACCTTGTGAGAAAAAAATGAGATCTGCAAAATACTCACCATGTCTCTTTTTAAATTCCTTGGGTTGTGTACTTTCCAGAAAGGGGTCATTTTGGGGGGGGGGGGGGTGGTGCTATCCTGGCATGTCAGGGCCTTCGAAACTGTGATAGGTATTGAGGAAGTGAAATGAGGAAGTTACGCACCTTCAGGCTTTCAAAGTGGTCATTGGATTTCAGGCTCCTGTATGTGGCTAGGCTCCCAAAAAGTCTAGGTGGTTTCCCTATACTCGGTAGAAGTAGCAGAATGTATTTTGGGGTGTAATTCCACATATACCCATGGCTTGTGCGAGAAATAATTCATTTAAATGACAACTTTGTGTAAAAACAAAAAAAAAAAAGTTTTTGTCATTTTCCAGAAACTTGTGGAAAAATAATAAATCTTACTGGGACTCAATATGCCTCTCAGCAGATAGCTTAGGGTGTCTAATTTCCGAAAAGGGGTCATTTGAGGGTGTTTGTACTATCCTGGTATTTTAGCACCTCAAGAAATGTGATGGGCAGTCAGAAAGTAAAATCTATGTAAATTCCATTATCTATACCATAGTTTGTAGACACTATAACTTTCACACAAAGCAATAAATATACACTTACTGGGATTTTTTTAACCAAAAACATGTAGCAGAATACATTTTGGCCTAAATTTGACGAAATTTTTGTTTTTTTGGATATTTTTTATGACCAAAATGAGAATTTTTTTTTTTTTTTTTTTTTTTTTTTTTTTTAATTCAAAAAATTTTTTGTTCATAGCGCCAAAAATAAAAAGTGCACAGGTGATCAAATACAACCTAAAGAAAGCCATATTTGTGTGAAAAAAAGGACATAAATTAAAATTATGTACCTTATTACATGACCGCGCAATTGTCCATTAAACTAGCACTGCGCTGTATAGCAAAAAAAATGGCGTAAATTGCAGTATCTATACCATATTGTAGACGCTATAACTTTCACACAAAGCAATCAATATATACTCATTGGGATTTTTTTTACCAAACATGTAGCAGGTGATCAAATACCACCGAAAGAAAGCTCCATTTGTGTGAAAAAAAAGGACGTAAATTTCGTTTTGGGTGCAGCATTTATCAGTTGAATTAGTGCAGCGTCGAGTAGCAAAAAGAGGCCTGGTCAGGAAAGGGGGTAAATCCTCAGGAATGCAACTGGTTAACAAACTTATTGATCAATTTGTATATTTAAACTTCTATACATATTTTTAAGGACACGTAAAGCTTTTTATTTGGTACACTATTTTAATTTAGAAAAAATATCCATTTTTAGTGTAGGCCAATGATGTAAGTTTTTTTTTTTTTACTTTATGATTTAGATAAATGTATTTTTTTTTTAGTAGTAGTGAAACTCTGACAGCTGATGTTCTAGCCTGAAGGTGAAAGTGTTTATCTACACAGGCTGAAGGCTTTCATTGAGGTTGAGATTTCATCCTGTATGTGATCACATGTTCAGGAACAATTCTGATTAGCTCTTGATGAGCAGAGGGGACTCTGGCTGTCTGACAGCTGAAATTGGAAGCCACTAATGCTCTTCAAGAGGGGTTGCTATAGTGCACATTTTACTTAATAAAGTTCTGGGTCATGTCTTAAACCTCATGCCATCCCTCAGAGGGACATTGTGTCTGCTGCTCCCAGAATAGCTCCTCCTTTCACCTTTATAAAGCAAGCCGGGCTACTGAGAGCACACCCCAAAGGGGGATGTGATTCCATATTAAAAAGGAACAATTTCCCCCACATTTGGCTACATTGCTCAGTGTAGGACCAGTGGAACTTGTCACATTAAAATGTGGCACAGGCTGTTGCAAGGCACACTAAGGAGATAAAAATAACGTACTTCGGTTCCTGCTGTGAACAAAATACCTGTGCAACAGCGCATTAAAAGAAAATGGCTTGTCAACTCAAGCGCATTAAGCACTTTCAATGCATGATAATGGCAACAGAAATGGTGTCAATCAAGCCCATATTGTTCAGTAATAAAAGATGAAAACTGCTGTGCCAGTCATTTAAGCTTCAACTATTTCCCTGGTGCCCAACCTGAAGGCCACATGTGGGACTTTGGTACTTGTGTTGTCATCAGACCACAGTATTCAGTAGAAGTACTGAACTGTAAAAAGGTTATATAGTGGCAGTCTCATATACCATGTTCCTGACCACACCTGTGGTATGCCTACAGTCACTAACAATCTCCTGTAACCTTACATCAGTACTATGTGCAGCCCCTTCCTAAAGTCAGGCGCCACCGCTGAGGACCTTTGTAAGTTGACTACCTAGATGAATCACAGTATAAAGTTCTTTTGCATAAGAAAAAGATAATGTGATATAAGGAAACTAGCCACTGTTTGTTTTTTTTTCTTTGAAAATGCTAGTTGACAGAGCCTTTGCTTTTAATATGAAATCGATTTCTCTGAAAGTACAGATATGGCCAGTTCTGTTCAGCTTTACTTGTTGTGGGTCATCGCCTTGGAATTTATTGAAGGTTGGCATAATGCAAAGTAACTAGCATTTTTAGGAAAGGAGGGGCAGTGATGGCAGACATGGTTTCATTTAACCACTTGCCTACCAGGCACTTATACCCCCTTCCTGCCCAGGCCAGTTTTCAGTGCTATCACACTTTGAATGACAATTGCACGGTCATACAACATTGTACACATGACATTTTTTTCACACAAATAGAGCTTTCTTTTAGTGGTATTTACTCGCCGCTGGCTGTTTTATTTTTTGCGCTATAAACAAAAAGAAACAAAAACTTTTTTTTTTTTTTGCTCATATTATAAAATTTTGCAAACAGGTAATTTTTCTCCTTCACTGATAGGCGGCACAGATAGGTGACATTGATGGGCAGCGCTGCTGGGCACTGATCATCAGGGCCGAGCCGTCCTCTGACAATTGCTGGTTATCGGCAGTACCTTCCTCACACTGTGACAGCATGTGGAAAGTGCAACCGGCAACTGCATTGTCATTGGCCACGGCTCATCACATGGTAAAAGGCTGCTGTGATTGGCCTTTTACCACATCACATGATCAGCTATGTCATGGAGATCGCCAGGAGGGCGCGTTCTGGGAGGAAGTCATGACGCCCTCCCAGAACTGGCCGGCCACGGTGGAGCCATCATTTTGGCTATCTGTGGTCGGCCAGTGCTTAATTAGCCATGCTTGATCAGTTTGCACGATGCTGTTTTTCCAGCAATTTTTGGTCTTCCTGTCATTGTTTGTGCCCTGCAGATTATGAAGTATCATCCTGGCTCAGGGATCAAGCTGCGGCAAGCTCTTTAATTGATAGTTTTTCTATCACTGTATTCATTTTATTGAATCAAGCGAGATATAGTTCTAGCATCCATAAGAGCTACTGTTATGAGGTCTTAATAGCAGTAAGTGCCCAAAGAGGCAGCATTGTGTTGGTTGGGGATACCCTGTACACAAAAGTATTTGCAGTGAACCTTCAAATAGTCTCTTCTGGTACACATAGCCTTTATTATATCCTAGATAGTGGAAAGGATTGAGGTGTAGACACTAATCACGTCTTAATTGAATTGGGTGGGGGAAAAAAATATGCATATACTGCTTGTCATTGGCTACAGATTAAGTTTAACCATGATAACTGGATGGAAATCACTATCTTCTGTAGTATTCTTATTGGGAAAACTACAACTGACAGGATAAAAAAAAACAAAACAAATGTCCAATGACTTGGGATGGGGACTTAATACCTACAAATGGGCTATAAGGTCTACAAGGAAGACCTGAGAGCTGTTAGACTTTAGCTATGGCTACTGTTCTACACAAGTCATCAAAATATACAAATCTAATTTATAAAGTACTAGAATATCAAAATTGGTTGCAATGTTTTGTTTTTTTTTATAATCACAACTAGAATGGCAACAAATATTCTATAAAACTAAAGCATCTGCTACCCAAGTTGCAAAAAAAATCTTTACCATATAGAACATGAGTGGTTAGAGCAAGTGAATAGGCAAAATATGGTAATGAGTGGACATTATTTTTGTGAGACAGTTGGGTAGGTCAACTAAAAGTAAGTAAATATCAGAGCAGCTGATAGATGCCAGTTTAGAAGTGGCTGGCCTGGGAAACCAGGAAATGGCCCCAGTTTTCTCCCATCTGTGGGCCCCTATTAGGATTATAGGGTGGCAGGATTTATGACAAGCTGGGTGCTCTTTTCTATGAGCCAGCAAAGCGCATGTCATTCCCCACCCTAGGGTCAGGTAGGTGTGAGCAGGAAGATATTAGTTCTGGTGGCAGAAGGGTGAAAACAACAAATGCCAGCTGACTTCATACTTGTTTTTATGCTGCTTGCATTTAGCAAGCTTTTCTCGACACCCCAAAATGTATAAAGAGAGACCTACTGAAGAAACCTCCAACATCTGAAATTGAAAAATGTTTCTGATAAAGGATATTGGGACAGAAAGGTCCAACTGACAGGAAACTTGTGCTTCCGTAGGAGGAAGTTGGCCCAACTTCAGGCTGCATACCACAAACTCTTTCAAGAATATGATGCTCACATCAAGAATGGCCTTCAGCAAGAAAAACTCATGAAGGTAAGAAGTATCCAAACCAATCGCTGGAGTGATTAGTTCTGAGAATGGTTCACTAACATGAGATTTCCTTTAAACAGAGCATGGACCTCCAGCTGCAAGAACTAAAGCAACAACTGCAGGAGGCCGAAGAGGCTCTGGTAGCCAAACAAGAACTCATAGACAAACTCAAAATGGAAACAGATGAGCAGAAGAGCCTGAAAGAGACCATTGGTGTACTCAAAGCTCAGGTAAACCAGTGTACAGTGCTCATGGTAAAAAAAAAACAAAACACAGCAGTTCTCCTTGAGTGCTTCCTACAGGTTTTTACAGATGGTAAAATCAAACAAATGGCATTAAGAGTGGAAGATGCCATGTCAGATTTTCTTCTGAAGGTGCAATCTGCAGGGTCATCACATTTAGCTTTCCTTCTCTACTTAGTGAGTGACTGACCCAGGATATGCCACATGTAGACTAAGAGTCTGATACCGTATATGCACTTATTTGGATTAAGCTGGCAATACATCGATTGAAATTCAGCCAGTTCCTGCTGAACCAGCTGATTTTCTGTGTGTAGTAGTCTTCACTTGACAGAAGTCTACTGTTTTTGATGAAAATTTCCAACATGTCCCTTTGACAATCAGAAGCTGCTGCCACTGCTTCTGACAGTGGTGTTTGATACTGTACAATGTCCCGGTGGGGGAGCGATAAATTCTATCCGCCTTGTTTGTGTGGATGGAGGAATCTGTTCAGCCTCCTGGTTGAATGAAAAAAACGAATCATGTATGGTCAGTGTTAAGACTGTAGTGACAACTTCCACTTTACTAAAATGAAAGGTGAGTGTAGTGATTCTACCAAGATATGGTGGCTGCCATAGTTCTTTTCAGAAAATGCTGATTCGCTGCACTTTGCACCTTTGCCCAGCACAGTCTCAAGGGAAAGACAAAGCAATTTGCCTGGTTTCCAGTACTATAGTGTGGTAGTGTGCACTGAGAAGTAAAAAAAAAAAAAAGTAGTACTGCATACAGTGTAGTAGGTTGTGGCTCAAACGGCATCCTGCGCCAGAATACACAGATCACCCATTAACTGCAATCGCTGATCAAACCATTCACCAGAAGCCAGTCATTAGACCATCCTCTGTTGAACAGACCGAAAGTCTGCCGGTTCCTATTGAACAGGCTGATTTTTGGCCCTTGTACACCTGCTTTAATGACATCACTTTTTTTTTTTAACCCCTCCAGGCAGATATATTTTGTGCAGACTTCCAGGCAGAACGGCAGGCGAGGGAACGGCTTCACGCAGAAAAGGAGCAGCTGCAGGAACAACTGGAGGAATTAAAGCGAGAAAGGTAAAGGAACAAAAGTCTGGCTACCATGCACAACTGCACCAGATTTTGCACTCTGCAGTGTTTGTATTATAGATGATACTGTGGGTTGATTTACTAGTGTGAAGGCACAGATCTCCCTACCCCAATTGGCTTCTAACTTCAGTTTGTTCAACTAAGATTTGACGGAAAAAAAAGAACCTAGAAGCGGATTGGTTTCTTTGCAGAGCACTCTCCAGTTTTAGCAAATAACCCCCAATGTGTGTTGCAGGTCGAGGATGGAAGACATGAGGAACAGACATGTTGACAACGCACGGCCAAACCAACCTTGTGAGTAGCACGAATTTATCCCCTGAATTTTACAGTCATTTTTCTTTGAACATTAATAAGTTTTGTACTTTCTTTACAGCACTTTACCCTATGCAGTACTCTAATGTGCCAGCGCCTTCTTTCCACCCTGTGGTGGAACTTCAGGAATATCGCTGCCCCAAGTGTCAGTACAAAGCCCCAGATATGGACACACTGCAAATCCATGTCATGGATTGCATACAATAGCTGCTCAACACTAAGGACTGCACAGCCTGCTACCTTAGACGCCATACACCTTGTGAGCTGAAGACTGCAGATCACAGCACCCCATGGAAATAAAGACCAGCTTAGAATTCAGCTGTTCAACTGCTCCTTATTGCGAATGCACTGTACCTGCAGCAGGATGTGTATTTCACCACAGTGCAGCTTGGTATTGTTTTGTGAAAGATTCCTTGGCCTGTTATGTGGTGTGCACTGGAGTTCTTGTAATCTGACAAAGCTAGTTACTGAAGGATGATTAACAAATATGATGTTCCATCTACTTATGTTTGGGGACTCCCCCCCCCTTATTACTGTAAATATTCTACTACAAGAAGAATGTATATAATATATATATTTTAGAGAAAGAGGTTGATGGTGTTTTTGGAACTTTTTTTGCTTGGCAGACTGGAATGTCAAGTGACTAAGGACAGCACTTGCTTAGACTTATTAATAAGTGTACACTTGTTGAAAATGTTATAAGACAGTGTTAAATCAGCTATACGTGTTAAATGATTTACAGTCATCATAAAAACTGCGGCCCAGAAGTGATGAAGCATCTGATGGCCAATGGAAACCAAGCAGATTCTTTGTTTCAAGCACTAAAATCGGTTGGTTCCTATAAGTGACAGAGTTCTGCTTTCATTTGCAGGGTCCCATTATCAGACTCCATTCTGGCATACTCGTATCTTCCTGTCTGTTGAAATCTATCAATAAAACACAGCTACTTTTAAATATTTTGCTTTAAAAAGGAATCCAAACTTTTTTTGAATAGTTTAAAGTACCCCTGTAATGAGAAAAATAGTGCTGTCATTGCTAACTTCCATATGAAAATGCTAGTTGCCTGGTTGTGTCTGCCTTAAAGGAGAAGTTCACCTTTCATAACACGTTACACCCATAATCAGGGTATAACATGTTACGCGAATGGATTGGCCTCCCTGCTGTCACAATTTAAAAAAACAAAAAGGCCATGCAGCTGCATCACTTATTCACAGTATTCTGTGAATGAACAGCCTTTGCAGTTGTTAGCATGTAGTTCTCAATGAACTACCACAGCGCTGTGGTAGTTCATTAAGTCTTCCTGTCAGCAAGTATCTGCTTGGGCACACAGACTGACAGATCTGCAGGAGTCCTGCATTGCATCAGCAATCTGCCGATCGCTGGTGCAGTGCTTTAGGGACTCTAGAAAAAAATAATAAATGCACATTTTTTTGCAGGTAAAAAAAAAAAGTGCATTTATGATTGTTAAAATGTGAACTTATCCTTTAAAAATGCAAGTCACTGAGCAGCAAGCAATAAGGCTAGGTTCACACTATTGCAAGTAGGCATGTAAATTGCACATGTTCCTACAACGGCAGCAAAACACACTGCTGTTTAGCAGACGCACAGGGGTGCCCTTAATTCTCAATGCCACCCACACATTGGAATAGATGGCATGTTTTTCAGTTCGTAGAAACACTTTGTGCCAAAGCCCCATGCAGTTTCCTTGCTGCTGTGGTTTTTAGAAAAGGGTCAGGGACTCTTTCCCTGTGTTCCTGCGGCCCATTCAAATGAATATACTATGCCCACACAAACACAGACAGAAATTCATATATATGAACCTAGACTTAGTATGAAGAAAAATTGCATATTCCATTCAGCCTAATTAGCCCCCATATTGTATCTTTTATATATATATATAAAATTAAAAAAAATGTTTTCTTGCATACATGTTTTATAAATCTATACAGAGCCTGCACATGAAGTATGCTGCCCCTGTGTAACAATGCAGTACATTGATTGTGCTTTATGGTTTTCTCTGTTTACATAAGTTTATTTGGACCAGCTTGTTCCAAATGAACTACTAAAAGTGACAGGAAACCTGGAGAATAGCTTTTAAACAAACCATTTCCTTCACTAATTGTTGCATTGGCTCTGTGGTTTATGAACGGCATGAGGCTTCAGCTAAATACAGTACACAGCACTGGGTTCTGGCTGCAAGACAAAGACTTCCCATCTTACACCTGGTGCGCTCAGCCATTTGCAGTCTGAATGAATACAAAGCTTTCTCCGATTGGCTTAGGCAGACTGATGTCATGAACTCCATGTGTGCATTTACAAAACGCAAAGCTGCATATGAATGGCTGGGTGGCACTCAGCCCAACTCTGTTTTACTCCAGGTGTAAGATGGAAAGTCTAATAGCTGGAACTAAGCAATGTGTACTGTATGTAGCTGAAGCTACATGTAGTTCATATATCACTTAGAGCCAATGCAGCTCTTAGTGAACAAATAAAAAATTTCTGTGTTAACACTTACCTGTCCTGCCACCTGTGCCCCAGATCTTCCCTATCTTGTGTGGCTATTTTGGATAATTTTCAGCACTTCTGGGTGCATCAGGTGCCTGGTATCCTGTTGTGGGCTGTGACATCGTTCACCACCCTTTTGTCATTTACACAGTAGCACCAAGAGCCAGTCATACAGAAGGTGCTTAAAAGCAAGTTCTTTAGCAAGGAATATCTATGCCACATGAATAATTATGCTACCAAAATTAGTGTGTGCTGTAAATTGCCTCCAGCATTGTTCCTGTTTCTCCTTGCTGGAGGCTGCCATTTTGCTGAAGCCCAGAGCCTCTGTGCAGCAGTAAAACCTTTACAAATTTGGCACAGTGCCTAAAAATAGAGAGCAACTGAGCGTGTGCAGAGCAGGGTAAGTATTGCTGGATTTTAAACAGTATAGGCACTTATTTTTAATGTTTTACATAGTATACCTGTAAAAGAGGCCCAGAATGAAGTGATCTAGTAGGACTTACATTTTCTGACTAAAATTCCACTTTAAGCTGCCTAGTTCTTAAAGTGTGAAGACATGATGCATGGGGCAGCAGGATGTGCAAGTACTATACCTCTAAATGCATGTGGTTTTGAAATATGCTTTTTAGTGATCTTTAACTCAGCAGCCATTTAGTAAGATTGCCAGCTGTACCACTTTTGGCATCCAGATAGGCAACAGAGGGCAAATCTACTAATCTTTATTAAAGAGATGCAGATGTGTAATACTGGGAAGGTCACAAATGACCTTCAGGCAATGTTGCGATACCTGATTGTTTGTGTAAACCAAAAAAATGGGAGTATAGCCAATGTGTGACGCAAGAAGAAGAGGTTTATTTGGTTTGATATGACAGTTTATTGAAAACATTATGAAGGCCCAAGCCAATGTTTTTAGCTGTCTTCCCTTCCTCGGAGTTTGTCTCAGCCTTTTCCAGCCCTTCACAGGTTTTAACAGAAAGAGGCATCATAAATAGAGGAGGGGTCCTCAGGGATTTGGTGTCCATTCTTCTTCACATCACACAAACCCAGCTGCTCAGGCCTGGGCTGAGGAGTGAAGGTTAAAAAGAAAATACACTGATTGTCTTTGGGCTGTTGGAAATGTTTCCATCATTGGAAGAAGAAAAGAAAAAAGAAAAAAAAAAATCAAGTTTCAGATCCAGGTTTGTGTTTCGCTCCCATAGTGATTCCCCATTCACAAAGAAATTAAAAAGGTCCAGCTATACTTTTGTAGCAGTCACAGGCACTATGCGTATTTTAACATTGTCCATCAAAGCTCTGTGTAGTGCTGCTGCTATCACTACTCCCAGCTCCTCTTGGAGTCACCTCAATGATTCGTGGCTTCTCAATAATCCGGGCCGACCGGTTTCCTTTTTCCACTATGCCAATAATCCATGCTTGGTGTCCCTCTCCATACTTTGGCGATTTGATCTCTGCACAGAAGCGAGCAGCCTGCTCTCGGGGAAGGCAGATGAGCAAGCCCCCTATGGTACAGAGAGAAAAAAAAAAAAATTAAAAGCTGAAATAGTTTTCTTTATGGTTCACTGGAGGACTCAGGGATTTATTCTAAGATAAGAGGTATATACTGTTGTCTACAGGAGACTGGACACTAGCAAATAAAGCTGTCAGCCAGATTATACCCCTTTCAATCCCATCATGCTCCAGTTTTATGCTGAATGCACATCTCTAATTAACAAACCCCTCACCTAGTGGACTTTGTTTTTATCAAGATCTCTTTCAATTCAAGCTTTTATGCCTACTACAGAGCCAGAGAGTTCTGTTTCTTTCATGTTTTTAGATCAACTGATCCTCTGCATAGCCTTGGAGACTGCACCCAGCCCCCACCATGCACACGGTACGGGGCTGACCTGCAATGTGATCTGCTTCAGGCACTCTCCAGCCATCCAATGTACTGTGCGAGTCAGGCACGGGGCACCTTACAGGTCCATGCTTGTGACATACAGTACCTGCTGATGGAACCCTGCCTCTGTAGACTATTCGGGTAGTACACCCACCAGAGGGGATGAAGACTGCTTGAATGGGGGCATGTTCCCTGAGCCTGCCCTGGCACTCTCCTGCTGTAGAGGCTGCAGTCCCAGCAGGGCTTTGCTCTTTTGAAACTCCATGTTTGCTTATTTGCTATTGTCTCCATCTGCTACACTGCTGGGGTTAATGCATGGAGCTCCAGCTGCAACACGGTTTTCTGGCTAGGTTGGAAGTGGCAGTTATGCGGTCTTTGAATTTTGACACCTTGCACCTTCACAGCTCCCTGTTTGAGTCAATTGCACTGAGAATGCTGCATAACTACCACATTGCATACATGCATTCACAGCCTCTACTGTTGTCCACCTGAAGCCTGCACCACTACTGCTGCACTCCTCTTCAGAGACAAGCCATGGGCTGCCTGCTGCCTTACTAGGTCACAGATGGCCATATATCCTTCCCTGCAGCTGGCTGCAAGTACCCCTCTGTAACCTGCACTCTTAAACACTTGCACTGTGTATCCCCCAACGAACAAAGAAAAAATATATATGTTTTTTGGTAAGTTCATTGGGTGGGGGACACAGGTCACACCCTCTCTATCTTTATGATCAACTCTTATTACTGCTTTTCCACAAAACGGGAGCATTATGGGAGTGGGATGGGTTAGATCTGGCTGACTGCCAGCAATTTTTCTATTGTCCAATTTTTTTTTAGGCAGCAGCACAACTTTGTGTTAGAATGCAAACTAAAAACTCTCTTTTCCTCACGTTTTGGAGGAAATGACAGCTATAACACCTATTTTTTTTTTTATCTACATCCCATTTAACAGATTTCCTGTTACTTCCTGTCCCATAGCCAAACAGGAAGTTAGAGTAAATCTCAGGTGTCGCCAGAAGTAGTGCCCCCATTGGAAAATGTCCCCTCTTACTGTTCTGGTGTCAACCCAACATTCAGAATTTTCTTTCACTTTCAATAATAATGGTTAAATAGAGAAGGTAAACCTCCCTAATGGAACACAGAACAAAAAACTGACAGGTGTTGAAATCTCACTCACTTTATCAAAAAAAGTAAATATTTTGTCTTTAGTTACTCTTTAACTCTGTCTCCTAATAAATTGCAAGAAAAGAATTTCATGCCAAGCCCAAAAAATCCTGTTTTACTTGCCTAGCCTAAGGTGTTTTAGGCCCTCTGATGCAGACACTCCTGCCAGACAAAATTGTGTACATTGTAAACTAACTGCAAATAACAAACACAGTCACCTTAAGCCTGGGGCTGCATGGTCAAGTAAAGCTCATTTCCAGGTAAAGCAAAGACCTAAAACCTCTCACCAACTCTGCAGAGAGCAAAAAGTTTAACTTGGCTTCTTTATAGACATATATTCAATTTGCTGCAATGCCATCACCAGGGCTCCATTACAAACTGCAGCTACTGGGATGGGTTGGCTGAGTGCACATATAGGGGTATCCTGGCAAACAAACACACTCCCAAGAAACTTCAGCCAGCATGCAGTATGAGAATTTCACACTAAGCAAAATAATGTAGCATTACATATGCAGACTTCTATCCTGCTTTACACTATTAATTTTTTTTTTCTTGCTCCTTCTCAAATAAAAATCTAGTAGTTGGCCAACCTAATGAAAAAAAAAAATGCATTTCCTGTGTGGCTGATAAGTTATAAGGCAGCGTTTTCCTTGTGGTGAAAGTAATACTAACGTAAAAATGTGATTTTTTTTTCCTACATACTTACCTGTACAATGCATTTCTTGGGGTGCATCATGGGACACACAGCAGGCTATTCATGACTATGTGGGTTGCCTCCTATAGGTGAATGGACACTGACTGACCAATCAGAGAGGAAGTCCTCCCCTATATGACCCCTCCTACACAAGAAGTACTTCTGGTTTTTGTGGCAAGCAATGAAATTCCAGAAAGAGGGGAGGGACCTCTGTGTCCTGTGATGTACTCCAAGAAATGGATTTTACAGGCAAGAATGTAGAAAAAAAAAAATCCAATTTTTTTTGTTATCGTACATCACGGGACACAGAGCAGGCTATTCTTGACCATGTGGGATGTCCCAAAGCAATAAAGAAATTTTGAGGGGAGGGTGACACCATGATAGCCACCGCCAACAATCCCACAAGACCTACTTCACAAGCAGTTCGCAAGATGCTGCGAGCAAAGTCCTCTGTGTCTCTCACATCCATCGAGTAGAACCTTGTGAACCAAAGCCCATGTAGCAGCCCTGCAAATCTGACCAACTGACGCCTGATGGCGGATCGCCCAAGATGTCCCCACACTCCTGGTAGAGTGTTCTCACCCCGAAAAGGTGGGACCTTATCCTTCAAACCATAGGACTGAATGATTAACTGGCAAATCCAATAAATAGTTGATCTGGAAGCCACCTGCCCTTTCTGGGCCCTTCTGGCAGCACAAACCAGGAATCCCGCCTTGTGCCACCAAACTAAAGTGAATCCTGACCATCCGACCTACATTCAAGTATACAGCTATCTTTCCCCTGCCAACTTTAGACTAGGAAAATAAGAAAGGCAAGACATTGTCCTGATTTAAGTGAAAACTAAAAACCACTAGTCCAGAAGATGGATGAGGACGCAACATCACCTCATCATTTTGCAAGACCAAGAACGGCTCCCTACGTGAAAGAGCCACCAGTTTACACTCTTCCTGCTGAAGTGACTACTATCAAAAGAACAAAGTCAAGTTAAAGGACACCAGACCGGACCATCCATGTTACATCCTGTACAAAGTACGAATCAAGGAATGCGAAACAATGATCTCTGGGGAAAAATTGGGTAGTGCCAAAATCTGACCCTAAATCGCACCTAAAGTTAAACTCCATTTTCCCTCCTGATAGGAGAAATAAAAAGGCTTCAAACCAGGCAAATAAGATTTACAGGTCCTGTTATGGAAGCTCAAGAAGCCGGCTTCCTGGTGCTCAACAATCTGGAAAAACAGGAACCATGATCCCTCTAACCTTGCAGACCTGGGCTTCAACAGCCCAGCCTTTAATCCTAGCTATCGTAAAGCAGGATAGGTTATTGGACCCAAAACAATAGGCCTGAGTGAAACAGAAGTGTACCAAGCTCTCCTGGACTAGGCTGTCAGTGGAACTCCTGCCCTGGACACAACCTGTCTAACTTGTTGTAAAACCTGGAAGTCTGTAGATCCAGAGTTCCCCAACGTCAGAAGATTGCTGAGAATGTCTTGGAATGCAGGGACCACCCTGCCATTTTCCTAAATCTAGAATATGTACGGTCAACAAAGACGCACATACTGTTCTGCCCCAGACAGAATGTGGTGCACCTTTTTATGAACCGCAGGACCCTTGATGCTGCCCTGGTGGTTGATATAAGCCACTACCGTGGGATTGTCAGACCAAACCCTGACCACAACCTTTACAACTGGTTCTTCCAAAAATCCAGAGCAAAGCGTACTGCCCAAAGGCTGTGGCCAGTCCAAAGAGCAGTGCCTCAAAACAAAAACAAAAAAATGACAGCGCTTTACTGCAAAACACAGAACCCCTGATGGGCCTGAAGAAAAAAAAAAAAAAAATCAGTACACAAAAATATGCATCATTAAAAGGACAATGGAGCCCCAGAAATCTCCCTCTAGCAGAGACCACCACTAAACCGACCCTATCTGAAACAGAAAGACATCTAGATTTATGTTAAGTGACTTAAGATAGACCTCACGTCCTGGTTTGGTTTTGGGCTTGTGTCAAGTGTCTTGAATCACCAGAGACTGCCCTAGCATCCTCTGTCCAAGATACTTCTCCACACACAGCAGCCTCAAAATCTAGAGGAGAAAAGCTCAGACGAAATCAGGCGCTTTCCAGGTAATCCATTGTGGCTTCACTTACCAGATATAGCTGCAATGCCAGACCAACACCAACCAGGAAATGTGATCAACAAATTAGCAACAAGTCAATTAAACTCCTGGGATATTGACCAGTTAAAGTAGCAGATGGGGTTGTTAATTTCATTAACACCAAAGCGGCTGAAACTGATTAACAGCAGGTGCACTAGATGGACAATAATGAAACAATCCCCAAAACAGGCCACTGACATTTTTTCCCTACACATCTTTTCTGACTGTTTTTTTCACTAGTTTTGCAGTTGGCTAGGGTCAGTGTCACTACTGGTAGTATGAGGCGATACCTGGACCGTACAGAGGTCGCACAGGCAGTCCAACGCCTCCAGGATGGCACATAAATATGTGTCATTGCCAGGTTTGCTGTGTCTCCCAGCACAGTCTCAAGAGAATGGAGGATATTCCAGGAGACAGGCAGTTACTCTAGGAGAGCTGGACAGGGCTGTAGAAGCAGGACCAGTATCTACTTCTTTGTTCAAGGAGGAACAGGATGAGCACTGCCACAGTCCTACAAAATGATCTCCAGCAGGCCACTGATGTGAATGTCTCCGACCAATCAGAAAGAGACTTTGTGAGAGCGGCCTGACGTCCTCTAGTGGGCCCTGTGCTCACTGCCTGGCATTTGCCATTGAACACCAGAGAAGCTGTGGAGAATGTTGTTCACGCTGAATGATGTTACAGGCAGCATGTTATGGTGATGGTCTGGGGAGGCATATCCATGGAGGGACACACAGACCTCTAGAGGCTAGACAATGGCACCCTGACTGCCACTAGATATCGATATGAAATCTTTAGACCATTGTTAGACCCTATGCTGGTGCAGTGGGTCCTGGGTTCCTCCTGGTGCACGACCATGCCTGGCTTCATGTGGCAAGAGTATGCAGGCAGTTCAGTTCCTGGAGGATGATGGAATTAATACCACTGAATGGCCCCCACACTCACCTAACAAATTCAATAGAAGACCTCTGGAATATCATGTTTCCGTCCATCCGACGCCACTAGGTTGCACCTCAGACTGTCAAGAAGCTCAGTGATGCTCTGGTCCAGATCTGGGAGGAAATACCAAAGGACACCATCTCATGCCCCAAGATTATCAAGCATGCATACAAGCATGTGGGGGGCCATACAAACTACTGAGTACCATTTTGAGTTGCTGCAATGAAATTTCAGCAAAATGGACTAGCCTGCTGCAGAATTTTTTCCCTTTGATTTTCGGGGTGCCTTTGAATTCAGTCCTGTGCAGGTTGATAAAATTAATTTGCAAATGATGGGGCATCCTTACGTTCCTAACACATTACCCAGTCCATATCAGAAAACAGCTGTACAAGCCCACCAAGAATATGAAGAGTAATGGACTAATGCAGCTTATAATTGTGTTCTGTTTGGTCATGCTGCTCCCCCATAGGTAGTACGTAAACCTCATTATCCAGCCATAAACTGCTGTGAGACCCAACCTTCTCACAGGAGCCTCATCCTTCAGCCCATGTGTAACTTCAATCATGAAAGGAAGGAAAAAAAAAAAAAAAAAAAAAAAAAAAAAAAAAAGGGCTGCCCTTCTACCTCCTTCCTCTACTGCACAAGAGTAGGCTACACACAACAGACCCACGCCATCTAGAGACTGGAGGAGAAAACTGCAGTCCTTCTAAAACCCACACAACATGGCCTTGTCAAACCAAACAGAACATTGCCACCAGTGGCCGCCGGGAGAAATGACCAGTCATATTTCTTTTTAAAGAATCACTGCAAATGTAAACTTACCATTTCCGCCGCAGAACTCTGAATTATAACAGGAGTCCAACCTTCACAAATCACAGCGGGCCTTGTCATGCAGATCTTCAAGGACTCAGTCCCCATAAAGTGGGGCCACTGCCTTGGACCCGTACAGCACCCTGCTGGAAAGCACCTTGCTCAGAACAAACACTGCACAGGGTTCCATTATGCAGGGTCCAGCGCTATATGGCTGCATTACAGGCAAAACCCTGAGGATTCTTGAAGTCCTTGGTTCTCAGCAGAACCATTCCAGACCTCCAAGTATGCACACAAAACACATGTGGCACATGTTCAGTGATCATCCACCTTACAGATACTGGCAAAAAAAAAAACTGAAGTACTTCCTGTGTAGGAGGGGTTATATAGGGGAGGACTTTTTCTCTGATTGGTTGGCCAGTGTCCATTCACCTATAGGTGTCAGTCATGAATAGCCTGCTCTGTGTCCTGTAAACTACGATAAAGAAAAAAAAAAAAAAAAAAAAAAAAAAAAAAAAAAAAAAAAAAGTTCTTATATTTGTCTGTGCTCCCCCTTCCCTGTGTGAAGGGGAAGAGAGGGGAGAATAGATCCAGTGCTATGCACGGCTGCATCTCTTCTCCTCTCTCTTCCTCTTCATATAGGACTCGAGCAGGAGCCACTGGCTCCTGCTGCTGTCAATCAAATGCAGTGAGGAAGAAGTGGGGGGACTAAGTTCAGTTTTGTGAGTCTATGGAATGTAGCTCTATAGACACACAGCTCGGGAGCAAGCAGACACTGTGCCTCTTAGCAAACGGCTTGCTATGGGGACAGACTAAGAAGAGGAGGAACCAAGATTGCCAGAGGGGGACCCGAGAAGAGGAGGTTCAGGGCCACTCTGTGCTGTACCATTGCACAGAGCAGGTGAGTAGAACAAGTTTGTTATTTTAATTTGTTTTTTTTTAAATCTAGCCTTTAGTAACACTTTAATTCATCTCCCAGACTCCAATGGCAAGGTTTCCTTACAGTGGTTGGGTCCACCCCCTTTATACAAGGCCATAATGAAGGTGCGCATTTCTTAGATGTTTAACATTATAAAATCAAATAGTCACAGTGAGATACAATCATTTGTATTTGGAAATGTTCACTCACCAGATGTCTCTGCTGATGTTCCTTGAAGTAAACTAAATCGGTTTCCACAGGCTTTTGTGATGGCAGCCATTTTGGCTATAATGGGCAAATTGTGGATAACAAAGCTGACCTCACTGTGCTGTCGTTGTGCTAGGTTCTGTGCATGGCCCAAGATTCCAAATCCAGTGATATCCGTGGCAGCATGGGCATTAAAAGTGTGCATCAAAGCTGCAGCTAAAGGACAAGATGAACAAAGAAATTAAAAAAAAAACGTGAAATTCTACATGTGCAATTCAGATCTCTTGCGTTGGTTGACAGTGATCTTGGGTTTCTTGGCAATAATCTACATGAATCTATACATTCCTTTATATTCTACAATGTTTCCCCCAAAAAGTGCTAAAGTGGTTGTAAACCTCAGACATGACATATTAAAGCATGTCCCTCTATACAGGGGTAGGTAAACTTTGGACCTAAAGCAGTAGCAGAACTACATGTTCCATGAGGCATTGCAGGACTCGGATAGCCACAAGCATGACTCAGTGAAGCATAGACATGATGGGACTTGTAGTTTTGCAACAGCTGGAGGGCCACAGTTTTTCTACCCCTTCTCTATAGTGTATACTTGTCTCAATTAGGAGCACTAAGTGTTATTTCTCTCTGCTGCCTCCTTCCTCTGCTATTTGCAGAAGTCATTTGACAAGTTTCCCTGACACCAAAAGAAAAATGGCAAAATTCACTGAGCTCTGCAGAGTGTAATTTCACCTCTGTCCCCTTTTTTTTCTGAAATCTCAGACAAGATGTATAAAATTCTGAACTTTGGATGGATGTAGAGAAAAAAAAATACACGATAAACAGGTACAACTTGCGTAGGAGGATTTGTTTAATCTCTGAGGCCAGTCACTTCACTGGGAATATGGAAGGGTTTACAACCACTGTAAGTATCAAGTACTTTAGCCACTACGGGTTTCTGTATGTATCTAGACTAAGTAAATTGATCGTGGGAGGGTCACAGCATATTACTCAGCTTTGGTCCTCCTATGAACCTGACTAAGGGCAAATGAAGGTGACAGAGGTACATACCTGTACGGTTAAGGGTAGCCATATTAAACATAGCTTCCTGATATGCAAGCTCCACATCTTCTCTGGTCACTACTAGACGGATCTTATTCCAGCGCTCAGGCTAATGACAGAAAGAAAAAAAAGAAAAAAGTTGTGTAACTATTGATCATTCTGGAATTGGTCTTTGTTGCTGTATCTTTCTATGACCACTTACATTATCCAACCACTGATGTGCATTCACAGCCACTTGTGTGCCTAGAGGTTTCGTCAGCACAAGGACATCCCCCGGAACTGCGTTCTGTGGCCTGGGGAACAACAAGTTACATTAGCTAAGGCCATCATAGCTACCACTCAATAGTTCACCTTCATCCAAGTAAAAAAAAAAAAAATGAACTACGCCAAATACGATCTATATCCAGATTGACCATTTAAACAACACCAGTGTAATGTGGTAGGAAACCAACAATTCATGCCTTGAATAATAACACACACACCTCAGCATAAATGAGTACAACCCTTTTGAAAAGTAAGATTTTAATCAATATCTCAATGAACACAAACATTTTCCAAAATTTTGACAAAAACTGAGTTTTATAGAACATTTGTTTAGCTCATTACATGAAAGTAAGAATACTATAACTTTGATTACAAAATCTTCAGTTTTACTCAAATTAGTTGATGCAAAAATGAATACACCCCACAACAAAAACTACTACATCTAGTATTCTGTATGACCTCCATGATTTGTAAGGACAAAATCAAATCTTCTAGGCATGGAATGAACAAGTTGGCGACACATTGCAACATCGATCTTTTTCCATTCTTCAAGAATTCCATTCTCTTTTAGAGCCTGGATGCTGGATGAAGAGTGATGCGTCTCTTCAGAATTCTCCATAGGTGGTCGATTGGGTTCAGATCAGGAGATATACTTGGCCACTGAATCACTTTCACCCTGTTCTTCAGAAATGCAACAGTGGCCTTGGATGTGTTTTGGATTATTGTCATGTTGGAAAAGTGCACGACGACCAAGGGCACAGAGTGATGGTAGCATCTTCCCTTTCAATATAGAACAGTACATCTGTGAATTCATGATACCATCAATAACATGCAGCACCCCGACACCTGCAGCAGTCATGCAACCCCACAGAAAGTCACTGCCACCACCATGCATTTTTCTTTGTGCTCCTCACCTTTGTGACGCCATACAGTTTTGAAGCCATCAGTTCCAAAACATTTGTCTTGGTCTCATTACTCCTAGTAGAGAGTCCCAGTAGTCATCTTTTTCAGCATGGGCCCTGATAAATTCTAGGCAGGGTTTTTGTGCATGGGCTTTAGGCAAGACTTCCTTCGTGGATGACACCCATGCACGCCATTCCTCTGCAGTGTACACCGTATTGTGTCACAGGAAACAATCACCCCAGTTTGGCTTTCTACTTCTTTAGCTAAATGCAGTGAACTTGCATGGCGATTTTCTTCCACCCTTATGAGAAAGACGCTCCTGTTGAGGTGTTAACTTCTGTGGACGGCCTGGACATCTGTGAGATGGTTGCTGTTCCATCTTTGTTAAATTTTTGTATCACATTTGCTATAGTATCCTGACTGATAAGTAAAGCTTTGCTGATCTTCTTGTAGCCTTCACCTTTCTTGTGTAAAGAAATTATTTTCTTTCTCAGGCCTTTCTCTTCCATGTGCCATTGCTGGCAGCATGAAATGGGAAGGGGTTTTCTTAGTTAAGTAACAGGCTTTTATAATCAACTGTCTGCTAGGCATCTGTTTAATAATTAGACTCATCTGCAGTTGAATTCTTGTTCATTAGGATGTTGTCTAAAATTTAGCTTTGCTCCTAAGACTTTCATTGGACTGCATTCATTTTTGCAACATGGTCTTGAATTAATTTGTTAGGTAAAATACTTTTGTGTGTACAAATGCACAAATCTTGTTTGCAATCAATGGCCCGCATTTGTGGGACTAATTTAGTAGTATAGTGTCCCATAGAAAATGTTGATTCTGAAAGTAAAGGTTTTCTGACAAATCTGTTGTGGTGTACTCATTTATGCTGAGCACTGTAATAATAATATATATATATATATATATATATATATATATATATATATAATTAAAGAACATAGGAACTAGTGTGGTCACCAGTCACAGCTATGAGGTCTGGGTGTGAAAACAGACACTCAGAATCTCACACATAAGTGATCAGTGCCCCTGCGCCCCCTTCCAGTGCTAGGCCCGAAGTTCACAGGGACATTTTCTACCTGAAGAGTGTTTGTTCCCCTGTGATTTTGTAATCTTCCTTTACATGTACATTAGGGTATACAAATGTGTTCTAGTGATACTGGAGTAAGTTTAAAGCATACTGTAACAATCCTCTTCGATAACTGCAATATTATATATTCATACCTTTAGGAGTGGGACACGCACGGACACGCAGCTGAACTGATTAGATAGGGGAAACAAAGGAAAGAAGAGGTCGTTCTGTTGGGAAGGGGGATTTAAAGTGAACCTGTTAATCTGCCCTGCATGGAGAGATAACAGGTTGAGTTTAAGTCTTTAACGGCACGTGCACACATACACGCTACTTTGTATCTCTCTGCACAGTATATATACTGCAATTTGTAGACGCTATAATTAAACCAATTAATTTACATATATTGGGATTTTTTTATTTTTTTTTTTTTTTAGCAAAGACATGTAGCAGAATACATTTTGGCCTAATTTTATGAAGAAATTAGATTTTTTTTTTACTGGATGTTTTACAGCAAAAAGTCAAAAATATTTTTCAAAATTTTGTTTTTGTTTTATAGTGTAAAAGGTGATCAAATACCACTGAAAGAAAGTTCTATTTGTGGGGAAAAAAAAGATAAACTTAAAATTTATGTACAGCGTTGCATGACCGTGCAATTAATTAAGTAATGCAGCGCCGTATCGCAAAAAATGGCCTGGTCAGGAGGGGGGGGGGGGGGGGGGTAAATCCTCTGGGAGGACAAAGTGGTTAATTATGGGCCTACCATTTCTGGGAAAGTGAAGGTGATGCTAGCCTAGAACTAGTATGAAGCCACCTGCATTACCTTGCTATGGGTCACCAACATATAGCAGATCTCTGCCCATCCATATGCCAGGCTAGAAATCTGGCAGAGCAGAAAGATGCCTTGGGACACACAAGTCTCTAACCAACAGGACTGCATGACCTCCTCCTGATGTTTCCCACAATCCTCCTCCTTGTGGGACTGTTGCACTCTAATAGTATGGTTGCTGTCTGCTCTGCGCACAGCCGATTCGCATTTAGCTGATCAATATAAAACACGCCAATCACTTTTTGGGCTAGCAACAATAACTTCGCTTAAGGCAGGAGGATGAGTGAAATCTCACAGCAATTGCAGTTACTCCACAGGCCATGGCAGGGAAGTTCCAAAACATAAGCCAGTGGATTGGATAACCCACCAACATCACCCTATAACTGAAATATCAGTCATGGACAGACTAATTTTTTGATGTATTACAAGTAAAACTATTCATTAAGCTGAAGTTGCAGATAATGTTAAATGTAAATAGAACATGTTAAAGGAAATGGAGCTTACATGATGAATTCGTTTGACTGGCAAACCCACTGTAGCCACTCCACCAATGATAATCCAAGGATTAACCACCGTCTGGCCGCCAGTTACAGATGTGCCTCCTTCTTCAGCCGCATCTTTAAAGCCTTTTATCATGAGGGGTGTGACCTTCTCCCTCTCCTGGGAAGAACAGACAATGTATGGTACTTACATCTACAATTCAGTAAAGGGAGGTGTATTTCAAGCCAAAAAAAAGGATACCATGACATTACATGGCATATGAGGTCATAACATTCGTAGCCTACACTTCAGAATTTACTACCCATAACATTGCAAAAAAATCACACTTCTATTTCATGACTAGCACATCTCAATGTGGCCTTTCAAACACTTGATTGTTCTGTGCTATTAGATGCAACTTTTAAGTTGGTGAAAGGGTCCCCTATAGGACATGTGTGGAGTATGCACCTTGACATGTCCGCAATGAATGCTGTGACGATTGTGCGCAATAGAGACATGGATGCTGGTACAGCCATCTTGTTAGGCTTCAGCCATTTTGTCTCTCCTCTCCTCCCTCTTGAAATGGAATTTGTAGCTGTAAGTTGAACGAACTTCAAAAGGGCCTCTTATCTTACATAAAACACAAATAGACGCGCTCCAGAGCTGTAAACTGCTAATTAGTCTGGTACAGGAGGTCTGCTTTGAAAACCACTTTCCTCTGCCCGATGGTAAAACAATAACTCAGTCAGCCATGACCTGTTAGGCCATTAATGGATGCAGAGCGTGCCATAAAACATCTATTCCACATGTAACAATTTCACATACAATTCGTAAAGTTCAGCAGGAACTGAGCACATTAATATTAGATATATATTTGGATAGATCATTTTAATGCGAGTCAAACAAGGCCATACATGACTATATTAGCACCTAGGAGAGAGAAGAAGCAGTCTCTTCCCTCCTAGGTGACAAGGGTATGCTGTGTTTGGTATCCCTGGGTTTGAAATACAATTCTGAATATTAATCTGCCAGTTGCTAGAATACCACCTGCACATACTGGAAGTTATTAAAGCGAAGTTCCACTCACCCTGTCAAAAAAATAAAAGTCAGCAGCTACAAAAACTGTAGTTGCTGACTTTTAAAAAAGACACTCGCCTGTCCCTCGGTCCCGCGGTGTGTCCCCCGCAGCCCGTTTCAGCGGCCACCCTGTATTCTAGGAACCCAGCATCTTCAGTGTGGGCACCCGGCTGCGATAGCTTGTGGCTTCACAGCCGGGTAGCCATTGCACATGTGCGAGTAGCACTGCGCTTCATGAATGGTCCTGTAGTCTTCTGGGACCTGTCACGTGTCCCAAAAAAGTCTACAGGGAGGGAGGACACCTTCCACTTGCATAGGCGATCAGACCGGAAGTGGGAGCGGGTACCAGTCAATTTCGGGTACCCCCCCCCCCCAAAGGTGCCAATCCTTAATGGGGAGCAGTCCTTAAATGGGGAACTTCCCCAGTTTTGGGTGGAGCTCCGCTTTAATATTAGTATGAAACTGCAGTTGGGACTTTGTCATAACCTTGGTTACCGCCTAGCACCTATCCCCAAACTGGATGATTGATCAGTTGTTCTCACACGACACCCCTTTAATATCATAGAAAAAGACTGACAGGCCTGGAGATGAGAGCTTAAACCAAGGACATTGCAAGTATTCTGCCATCTTAACTCCTTTCTTTTATTTCTCTGTTGCATTATTGTTCTCTTTATAGCTTTGTAACATCTTTTTTTGTAAATATTTTAATTGCACTATTTTGACCTTAGTAATAAATCCTATTTTGAAAAGTGTTGAAACTGTCTCTAAAGCTTTTAATGCAAACTAAAGAATCCCTGTCTCTTGAAGAGTGCTACTGTATGTAATAATGCTCTGAATATCCTTGTCTGTCACCACTGTCACCAGCGTGTATTACAGACGCTTATGCAAATATTGTAGTGTTATTGCTAGGAGTGAAGGGTTAATTGCGTAATTAACCTAACCCTGTAACAATCGCTCTTAGGCTGCTGGCACATAGATTGTGGTCCCACGAGCTGGAAAATCTTTGTGCAAAGCGCAGCTGAGAGTGGCATTGTTACGCAAGTGACAGCACGGTGCGAGATTGGTTGGTCCTTCGGTCACGAGTTGGTGAGAAGGGCAGGGGTTGGACGCCACGTATCGTCACATATGCAACTTTGATATCACAATGTTTACAGAAATACATGCTAAGTGCAGACTAACCTGCTTGCAGCATACATAATGCCAGTCCACAGCAACTTTAGGTATGAGGGTACACCAGGAGATCATTAAGGGGTTAGCATATGCTGCTCACTTGGGACTATACAAGGCTTCTTTTGTGCACCTTGACCCTTGGATTGAAGCTTGAGTCAGGATTAATATATGGAGTGCTCCTTGGCTGAGCAAGGGAGGTTCTTCAGGAACACAGAGGACAAAAGTACACACAAATGCTTTTTCTGCACTTACTGTATATGAGGTTATTTTTTAAATTCAAAGCAAAAGGATAAGGGGAAATGCAAATACCGATTCATCTTCCAGGGAACCATTCTAAGTAAGTAATAAACTAAAGTATGAATCTATATTAAAATGTGTGTACATGTGGAAAATGTTTTTTTTCTATCAGACATCAATCAATAAATGTCCAAACTACATCAATGCTCAGTTTAAAAGGCAACACTTACCTCCTCCGTCATCTTCTGACTGACACTAAGTAACATCAACATGTTGTCACACTCGGTGATCCCCATGGCATACAGGTCACTCAGCACGTTGGCACAGGCAATGCGTCCCTGAGAATGGGTGAAACAGCATTTAGTTAATTATTCATTGGGTTTAGTATTGTTTGAAATCATTCATTCATTCTCCAAACAAACCGGTAAATACATTGTTGAAATGCATTTATATTTACTGTCACCCACCAAAGGATTTCTTTCAGCCCTCTCTTATGACACACAGCCCTCCGCTTGTCAGGGCAATCCCTCTGCTACTTGGCTGAGTATACATGCCTGTATATACACACAGTATACTTGTGTATGACATGACACGGTCTTCTTGTGCTAATCTGCACATTCTTCATGCAGTGTGACCTGTGCCTCCTTGTTCATGCCACGTTGTTACTTTTATTGTGGCCCAATATATACAAGAGATTAGTGCTGCGGGTTTGTCAGAGGGTTGTACTGGTCTCCTGCATGCTGCTGAGTACATTTTTCTTGCGCGCTGATCACACCACCATTATTTACGAGATCCTGTTGCCGACATATCACAGGGAAATCTCCCATATGTACATCAATTATTTACATGCAAGAACAAGATAAACTGTTAGTGTGTTATGGGCAGAAAAAAAAAAAAAAAAAAAAAAAAAAAAAACCACACCAGTTCCAGCATGCGACAAACACAAAACGTATTAGGTGGTGAAGCATTTTCACACACATGAAAGATCCCCCTCACCGAGCCAGTTGGTTTGTTCTGACAAGAACTGGTTGAACCACATGGACTTGTGTCTTGTTTCATCCTGACTAACGATATAACTGGTACAGTAATATACTTAGTATAAAAGTGCTATCTAAGCAGTGCAGTGGGAAGCACCAATACGTGACTAGGTGGTGTTTTTATTGGAGGAATAAAAAGGATTCAGTTTTACACTATTTTAAGCTATTTACTAATTTGGCATGACTTTGATCAGATTAGTCGAGGAAGAGATGAAAGATTATCTTAAATTTGTTTTTATCCCAATCATTTTTATTGAATTTTTCACAATACAAATGATAAAATGGTACCCAGACACAATAATCACATTGTTATGCATCCTTATACACAAAATGTCCAACATGTAACCGATTGGGCTGAAGTTGTATTTTCCAGACATAACTATAATAATCTCCCAAAAGGATCCTCTCCTATTGGATCCCACTCATCTGAGACGGGGGGTAGCCCCCACCACAAGTAGACCCTAAGGTCCGATCCAGTTGACTTCAACTTTCAGAAGAGGAGGAGGGGACCTGTGCCAACCCATAGTCTAGACATCCTTCCCGAGATAGCAGAAGGGCAAAAAAAAGAATGAGAAAAGTAAAATTAAAAAAAAAGGAGAATAGCAGAGGAGGGGAAAGAAAGAAAAGGATGGCGTACATAATAGGGGGTTGGAGAGAGGAAAAGACAGCGAGGCTCCCCTGTGACCAAGCAAGGTTTGGAAATGGATCTCAGTGTACTAGTTATAGACCTATATCTCTGTTAAATGTTGATACTGAATACGACATCCTGCTGAATGATAGGGGATCAAATACTTATTTCCCTCAGTTAAAAACTACGCATTTCGGTTTTTGGCCAAGTGCATTTTGAATTTTTGTTTTCGGTACCAGAATTTTCATTTCAGTGCACCACTAGTGTACATATGTGAACGCATTGGAAAATAAAACAAAGATGAGGGAGGAGTCACTAAAAGCAATGGTTACGGTTATACCAAAGGAGGGGACCTGTCGATACTAAATTATATGCAAAGGTATTAGCAACTAGGATGAAGGAACTGATGCTGGATAGAATACACTTAGATCAAGTAGGATTCATTATGGGTAGAGAACGAAGGGATAACAGATTAAGAGCATTGCTCCTCCTACAAAAAAGTAAAAAAAGGCAAGGTCCCTGCGGTTATCTTATTGATTGATGCCAAAAAGGCCTTTGACAGAGTCAACTGATTACTGATAGACACATTGGAGACTCTAGGACTTGGGCCCAGAATGTTACAATGGATTAAAGAGTTATATAGAGGTCCATCAGCTACTATGAAGGTTAATGGCTTGTTGTCAAAGTTCTTTAGAATGTACAACGGAACAAGACAGGGATGCCCACTTTCCCCTCTTCTGTTTGTAGTATCTTTGGAGCAAAGCTGGCTACCATGAGAAAGAGTGCAGATGTCAAGACGAATGTCGTTAGGAGATGTTGAGCATAAAGTTGCAGCTTATGCAGATAACATGTTTTATATTACAAACCCTAGAATAACATTACCTAATTTAATGAAAATATTAAAAGATTATGGAGAGTTACCCAATTTGAAAATGAGTCAATCAAGATCAGAGATACTAAATATTAATGTCCCAAAAAAAGAGAAACAAATTTTTCAAAAAGAATTCCCTTTTACATGGAGGGAAAAAGAAATAAAATATTTAGGAATAAAATTAACCCCATTCTTAAAAAAATAAATAAATAAATAATATCTATATCAGGTAAATTATATCCCATTAATAAATGAAATAAAGGATGATCTGAGGAGAATTTCAAGAGGCAGGGTGTCCTGGATAAGCCGTATAAATATGATAAAGACAATCATAGTACCAAAAGTCTTGTATAAGTTTAATATGCTCCCAAGACAACTACCAGGCTCTTTTTTGTGACCCTTAAAAAATAAATAAATAAATAATGATACTCATATATATGGGCCAATAAAAAAATAAAAAAAAGTTAAATATGAAATTCTGAGCAATAATAAACTACAAGGGGCACTAAATATGCCAGACTTTGGGAGCTATTATATTTCAGTGTTATTGTCACAAATAGGAGATAGGATATATGATACACAGGGAAGAAGTTGGGTGAAAATGGAGAATACATTAAGTAAGGCACAATTAGATAGGATTACTTGGATACCACATAAGTTTCGCACATTGGATGAAGGCACTAGTACTTTGACACAGAATGTATGGAGGATATGGGATGTATTACACAAGCAAATGGAATGGAAGTATAATTCCCTTTTGATTCCATTGGTGGAATCAACATTTTTCCCACCGGGGATTGAAAGTATCTTGAGAAAATGGATAAAAAGATAGTAATACACATTTGAAGGATATTGTAAATAAAAAGGGGAATTATTTTCTTTTCACAATTTAAAAAATAAGAAAAAAATTTTTCAATATTAGATGAGTGGCGATATCAATTGAGACATTTTGTTGCAAACCTCCCGCAACCACTAAGACAGAGGAGGAAATGTACCCTTTAGAGCATATGTTTAGTTTAAATAAAATACAAAAACATGCTACTTGGAGAATCTATGAGATCCTCCTGGAAATATCCGGATCAGAGTCTCAAGGGTTCATAGATAAGTGGGAACCGGAGCTTGGAACAAAATGGAATGAGCAACAAAAAAAATAAAATGTTTAGATTAACACATGGGGCAGTGAATATGAACATGCTTGAAAAGAATTATAAATGTCTTAAAAGATGGTACATTACTCCAAATATAGCACAAACAGAGATCAGAGGTATCACCTCTGTGTTGGCGAAGGTGTGGGAGTAAGGGGACAATGGCACACATTTGGTGGTTTTGCCCCAAAATGCAGTTGTATTTGCGGGAGATAATATATATACAGGAGATACTGAAGATTAGTATAGTATACCGCTCGACCTGGTTTGCCTATTTCACATATCTGAGATTTCTGTGAAGCACTATAAAAACACGATATTGTATCACTTAATAAATGTGGCCCAAGACCTTATCCATAAACTCTGGCAAGATTTTATTTATTTTACATGAGGACAAAATTGAAGAAAAAAAAAAACAAAAACTCAGGGTAGTTGGTATGACTTTAAAAGATCAAAAAGATATTTAGAAGTTGTTGGAGTGTAAAGAAGGAGGAAGTATTAGAAATAAGAGTATGGAGTAGGATAGGAGAGAAGGGAAGGATAAGAAAGGATAAGTTTATTCGGAGGATACTAGAAGACCAAGGAGTAAAAGAAAAGAATAAGACAAAGGGGTAGCGGAGGGGGAGGGAGGGAGAAGAGGGAACCCCCATCGGCTGTTCTCCCACTCAGTAGTAACCCCCCAGCTCGGCTGATCTCCCACTCAGTAGTAACCCCCCAGCTCGGCTGATCTCCCACTCAGTAGTAACCCCCCAGCTCGGCTGATCTCCCACTCAGTAGTAACCCCCCAGCTCGGCTGATCTCCCACTCAGTAGTAAACCCCCCCCCCCAGCTCTGCTGATCTCCCACTCAGTAGTAACCCCCCAGCTCTGCTGATCTCCCACTCAGTAGTAACCCCCCAGCTCTGCTGATCTCCCACTCAGTAGTAACCCCCCAGCTCTGCTGATCTCCCACTCAGTAGTAACCCCCCAGCTCTGCTGATCTCCCACCAGTAGTAACCCCCCAGCTCTGCTGATCTCCCACTCAGTAGTAACCCCCCAGCTCTGCTGATCTCCCACTCAGTAGTAACCCCCCAGCTCTGCTGATCTCCCACTCAGTAGTAACCCCCCAGCTCTGCTGATCTCCCACTCAGTAGTAACCCCCCAGCTCTGCTGATCTCCACTCAGTAGTAACCCCCCAGCTCTGCTGATCTCCCACTCAGTAGTAACCGCCCAGCTCTGCTGATCTCCCACTCAGTAGTAACCCCAGCTCTGCTGATCTCCCACTCAGTAGTAACCGCCCCCAGCTCTGCTGATCTCCCACTCAGTAGTAACCGCCCAGCTCTGCTGATCTCCCACTCAGTAGTAACCCCCCAGATCTGCTGATCTCCCACTCAGTAGTAACCCCCCAGCTCTGCTGATCTCCCACTCAGTAGTAACCCCCCAGCTCTGCTGATCTCCCACTCAGTAGTAACCCCCCAGCTCTGCTGATCTCCCACTCAGTAGTAACCCCCCAGCTCTGCTGATCTCCCACTCAGTAGTAACCCCCCAGCTCTGCTGATCTCCCACTCAGTAGTAACCCCCCAGCTCTGCTGATCTCCCACTCAGTAGTAACCCCCCAGCTCTGCTGATCTCCCACTCAGTAGTAACCCCCCAGCTCTGCTGATCTCCCACTCAGTAGTAACCCCCCAGCTCTGCTGATCTCCCACTCAGTAGTAACCCCCCAGCTCTGCTGATCTCCCACTCAGTAGTAACCCCCCAGCTCTGCTGATCTCCCACTCAGTAGTAACCCCCCAGCTCTGCTGATCTCCCACTCAGTAGTAACCCCCCAGCTCTGCTGATCTCCCACTCAGTAGTAACCCCCCAGCTCTGCTGATCTATCACTTAGTAGTAACCCCCTGCTCTGCTTATCCTCTGGTTTGCTGTTCCTCCTCCCTCTCTGGCCCCTGCTCACCACCCGCTATATTGCTCAAACACTGTGCAGCACGTGTGACAATAGTAGTTTTTCCTGCTTCGGTCCCCCAGCTCCGCTGGTCCTCTGCTGCTCAGTCCTCTCTCACCTTCTCCTATAGTGTTCCCATGTTGTACACCATGTGTGCCGTCTACTCTGAACCCACGCACCTTCCTGCTGTTCCATGCTGCACACCAGATGTGATGTCTGCACCAGACACCTTCAGAAAATATACACATGAACTGGAAGGGACTGCTGATAACGTCTTTCTGACAACTAGCTCTTGTCGTACAATATCAGAAACACTCTAAAATCTCATGGAAAGCCTTCCCAGAAGAACGGAGGCTGTTATAGCCACAACGTGGAGGTGGGGAGGGGTTTTTGGCAACATGCCTATAATTTGGAATGGGATGTCTGAAAAGCTTATTTAGGTATTATGGTCAGGTGTCCACAAACCTTGACCTAGAAATATATGTTACTTCTGAAATGATAAAACTGTAGTTATCCAGTGAAAAGGAAGACAGAATATCTATCTCTCTCTCTCACAGCCCTCCAAAATCATTGGATTCAAGTGTTCCAATCACCTCCATGGCCACAGGTGTATAAAACCAAGCACCTAGGCATGCAGACTGCTTCTACAAACATTTGTGAAAGAATGGGTCACTACTAAAATATTCCACAGTCAACTATTAGTGGTATTATAACAAAGTGGAAGCAACTGAGAACAGCAGCAACTCAGCCACAAAGTGGTAGGCCATGTACATTAACAGAGCAGGGTGAGCGCATGCTGAAGTGCACAGAAGTCACCAACTGTCTGCAGAGTCTACAGCAAAAGACCTCCAAACATTGTGTGGCCTTTACATTAGCACAACACCATTACATAGAGAGCTTCACGGAATGGGTTTCTATGGCCGAGCACCTGCATCCAAGGCTTACATCACCAAGTGCAATGCAAAGCGTCAGATGCAGTGGTGTAAAGCACACCACCACTGGACCCTAGAGCAGTGGAGACGTGTTCTCTGGAGTGACCAATCATGCTTCTCTGTCTGGCAATCTGATGGACGGGTCTGGTTTTGGCGGTTGCCAGGAGAACAGTACTTGCCTGACTGCATTGTGCCAAGTGTAACGTTTGGTGGAGGGGGGGGTTATGGTGTGGGGGTTGTTTTTCAGGGGTTGGGCTTGGCCCCTTAGTTCCAGTGAAGGGAACTCTTAAGGCATCAGCATACCAAGACATTTTGGACAATTTCATGCGCCCAACTTTGTGGGAACAGTTTGGGGATGGCCCCTTCCTGTTCCAGTATCACTGCGCACCAGTGCACAAAGCAAGGTCTATAAAGACATGGATGAGCGAGTTTGGGGTGGAGGAACTTGACTGGCCTGCACAGAGTCCGGACCTCAACCTGATAGAACACCTTTGGGATGAATTAGAGCGGAGACTGCGAGCCAGGCCTTCTCGTCCGACATCAGTGCCTGACCTCACAAATGCACTTCCGGAAGAATGGTCAAACATTCCCATAGACACTCCTAAACCTTGTGGACAGCCTTCCCAGAAGAGTTGAAGCTATATGGCTGCAAAGGGTGGGCCAACTCAATATTGAACCCTACAGACTAAGACTGGGATGCCATTAATGTTGATGTATGTGTAAAGCCAAGCATCTCCAAAATATTTTCCTCAGTATTACACATACAGTATTTTGAAATTAAAAGTCCATTAGTAGCTCTATTAGCTTTAAACCTGGATGGAAATGTTCACTTTTTGGGTTCCCAGTGCTTCCTGGGATCTCTCATACCTGCAATACCTCCAAAACAGCTAAAGTTGAATAAAACCCTTGCAAAAACTGCAGCTGCTGCAAGTGAGCTTTGTCAGACTTCTATGGAGGCTTCGTAGGTGCTTTGAAACACCAAGAAAGCAACATGGGGTATAATTTTTGACTGTAAGCTAACCATTTTATTTAGTGACAAGGGCTTTGATTGGCATTCAGATTGCTTAAAAAAAAAAAAAAAAAAAAAAAAAAAAAAAAAAAAAAAAGGTTATCTGAAGCCACATTTTGAAGCACCTATACACAAGCCCTAACAATGCATAAGTTAAAAGATCTTTGCACCTTTTTAAAATGTGTCAGTTGTTAGGGGGCTTCTTATTTACTGTAGTTATACAGTATATTCTAGAAAATCATATAGCTCTTTGCCAGCAACAAAGTCCCCCCACCCCTCTATTAAAGGAAGTAAGGTAGTTATCTATTTTTTGAACAAACAGTTGATTCGGCAAAGTTCTATTTTTAAACTTTAACAGAACTGGTTAGGGTATGGCGACCAGCAGAAAATGCATCAGAAGCACATTCCCTCACCCTCCCCTCCCCACCATTTCTAGCTGCCACAGGCAGACAGAACTGTCATAGTGACTCAGCAGTTCATTATGTACAGAACATACTGTACATACACAACTCCGGTCACAAGGGAAACACTAAGGAGATTAAGCTACACAATGATTTTCTTTCTAGTGCTGCTAAACTTTGTCACAGTCACCTGCATGTAGGGATCTTCCACCGATGGATAAAAGAAGTCTGTGGTCTGAACCAGGGACAGTCCCCGATGTCTAAGAGGTATCACACAGGAGTCCATCCCAATTCCTGGAGAAAGAGCAGATAAAGTCATAAGTGATGGGGCAAGGTTACACCTTTAAAGGGAACCTGTGAGGACAGAAAACAAGGGCACTGTCACTACCATTTTCTTAAGGGTTAGTACACCCCAAAACCTATATTTTAAATTTGAAAATTCCTGAAGAGTTAAAGTAACGTGTACTGCCAGCCAAAATCAATTTTGGATTTGGATAAAGGATAAAGTATCCACTTCTACTTGGGGCTCCATAAGAGATTTCCCCCCACTTTATGTCCGGATGACAATGGTTTGACCAGTCAGGATTGAGGGAACAATCTCCAAAGCCAACACAGAAAGAACCTGTTATTGCAGATTTTCCTGTCTGATGAAACCGCTGTTACTGCAAAAGAACAGGAGGGGGAAACCTCTCTAATGGAGCCCCAGAGAGCAGTGACTACAACACGGGTTTACACTATTCCCAAACCACCCCCCACACCCATCCACAACTAAAGCAGAAAAATAAAAGGCTTTTGCTGGACTTCCATTTTCTTATTAGTTTTTGAGGGTTCCATTGGTGTGATGTCTGTGCTGCTCCTGCACCAACACTTTCCTGGGCCTCATTATGAAGAGTTTTCAGTATACTTGTGGTTTTTTTTTTGTGTTTATATTATAGAAAATAAAACAGAAAGAATTGGAACACACAAAAAAGTGGGAGGAAACATGCAGAAGTCCCACAGGGAATTATGAGAGGCAGCCCACCAAGCTGCACCTATGAATAAAATATGACTTCTGGTGGGACTGTCTGTCCACACTCATAACCTGACCTCACCAGCCCTTCATCTGATTACCACCTTGGGTAGGCCTGTTCTCCGCAGGCTTTACTACTCTCTTGGCTCTTAAAACATAGTTTAATAACCATTTATATCTAATTAAGCATCATCTCACAGATCCTGGTATTAAATCCTTCCAGGCTATTCACAATACCTATAAACTCAAACCAGTGGATGTAATCCAATACCTCCAAATTAAGGATTCTCTCCTATCCTGTCCCCGGCTTCAGCTTTTGAAATTACCTTGTCAGAATACCCTCAAGGCCCTGTTGTAATTTCACTTCTATATTCTCTACTTTTAGCATTTAGACTCTGAACGGCTATATACAATTACAAAGCCTTGCTTAACAAAAGTCCAAATCTAAGCTGGTCACTCATTCAGAAACCTAAAGAATTATAACCAGAGCCTGGAAGTGCCCCACGTTACCCTCAAGTCAACTTTTATAAGAAATTACAGCTATACAAACTGACACTATGGAAAAATACTGAATAGTTAGGGAACCCTGGGGTTAGATTCTACCTTCCTTCTACCTTTCAGAAGGACCGACACCCTGAAATTAGAGCACAGGGATGTTCAATTCATATCGCCCGACGCCAGGGATATGTAGTTCCGGGCACCAGGAAGGCAGGTTTTTTTTTTTTTTTTACCTTTAGCCATGCTGCTGGCAAGCAGCAGGGCTCACCTGTCAGGTGGAAGCATTCATGCAGCACACAGCCCACCATGTGTTATGCCTCCACTCCCCCCTGCCCACTATGTCTCCCGGGCTTCACTTGCCGATCTGCAGGCTCAGGACCAGTCAGTGGCTCCCGGCGGGTATAGGGGAGGAAGGACAGCGGACACATCCACTCCCCTCCTTGTCCTTTACCTGGAAGTGATAAAGTGATGTGATGTCACTTCTAGGGCCCCGTTGACAGATTCCCGGCCACCGAGGCCGGGAAAGAATTTACTGCGGTGCGATGTGCATTGAATTACATTCAGTGGAGACATGTAGGGTCTTTTAGACCCTGGATGTCTCAAAGAAGAGAACCTGTCACCAAAATTCATCACATAGGGGACTTTCTGAAAAACAAAAAAAGTTGGTGACATTTTTATTTTTTTTTTAATTAAAGTTACACCCAAGCATATAACCCCCCCCCCCCCCCCAAATGTTTCAAGGCCCCTCACCCCCACATATGTATGCATGTACAAACGAAAAAGCACGCACTGGGGTGCCTACGTATGAAAACGACTATTGTGATATACATGTTACAAATCACTGCGCACGCCAAAATGAGAGCAATAATTCTAGCACCAGACCTCCTCTGTAATGCTACACTGATTACCTATAAAAGGTTTTAAAATCACCTATAGAAAATATAGGGTCCTGAAGTTTGTTGCCATTTCACAAGCGCACGCAAGTTTAAGGTTTGACATATTGGAGATTATTTACTCAATGCAACTTCGTCTTTTATATTTTACAAAAAAATTGAATAATTTATTACTTTTTGTGCCCTAAAATTAAAGTGTATTTTTTCCTAGACCTTGTGATAATATCGTGTGACATAAAAAACTGGAACTACTGCAATTTTATTCTCTAGGGGATTTCAGAAAATATATCATGTTTTGGAGTTGTGTAACCTTCAGGTATTAAATGATTTTTGATATGTGGAAAAATGCAAAAACAGCTCTGGCTGCGAAAGGGATAAAGGATAAGCCCGACACTCCCCTTTCCTGATGAGCAGCCAATCGGTACTCATTACACTGCAAGGTCTCTCCCCTCCCTGCTAGTCCCCGGGTGCGACGCTGGAGACAGGCAGGGAGGGAAGGAGGAGCCCAATGTTAAAAACATTAAACGTTTAAGTTGCCATAAAGCCCATTTTGTTTTTAAAAGCCCCAGACATTAAAGTACATTTAAATATGGTTTTGGTTAAAAAAAACATTTTTTTCTATAAGGACAAGTAGATTAGGACACCGATATAGTCCCTGGACAAGTACCGTATTTTTCGCTCCATAAGACGCACTTTTTTCCCCCTAAAAAGCGGCCGGTCCGGTATTTCTGCCGCCACCATATCAGAATACCGGGCCGGCCGCTTAGCTCTTCTCTCCTGCAGGACCTTACCTGTTCCTCGCTCCAGTCTTCTCGCGGCGGCTTCTGTGACAGCCGGGTGCCCACTGCGCATGCACGGGAAGTGCCGCGCTTTGTGAATGGTCCGGTGTCTTCTGGGACACATAACAGGTCCCAGAAGGCTGCGGGCCATTCACAAAGCACAGCGCTTCTCGCGCATGCGCAGTGGGCACCGAGCTGTCACAGAAGCTGCCGCAGGAAGAAGAAGGAAGGACAACTCCGCGGAAGTGGGAGCGGGTACCTGTCAAATTCAGGTATCCGCTCCCCCTCCCTCCCCAAAGGTCCGCAGTCTCTGGTGGTCATCTCCTGTACTGTGTCCGCAGTCTCTGGTGGTCATCTCCTGTACTGTGTCCGCAGTCTCTGGTGGTCATCTCCTGTACTGTGTCCGCAGTCTCTGGTGGTCATCTCCTGTACTGTGTCCGCAGTCTCTGGTGGTCATCTCCTGTACTGTGTCCGCAGTCTCTGGTGGTCATCTCCTGTACTGTGTCCGCAGTCTCTGGTCATCTCCTGTACTGTGTCCGCAGTCCATTGGTTCAGAATATTATTATTTCCAGAATTTCCACACCCTTGAGAACACCCTGCCCTTGTCCTATAATATTGTAATTTTAGCAGACTGCTTCTCACTGTTACATATTCCACCCCCCTTTCCCATCCCTTCCTCGTCTTTTGTCCACACCACTCCCTTGGGGCTTGTTCACACTTAACTAAATTTCTAACTCTTACCAAACGCTCCTATAGTTTTAGTATAGGCATTAGACAGGCGTTTATGAGCTTTAGACTAGCTTTTTACAAGCGTTAAAAACACTCCCCAAATGCCCTATTGCAAATGCATTTGACAAGCGTTAAAACCACATCACAAACTAAAAAAAACTGTAATATTATTATGTCTCTAAAACCGCACCACAAATGCCTCAAACGCCTGGCAGGGCGTTTGAGGAGCATCACTATAGACTTGAATGGGAGGTGTTGAAAGGCTTCAAACTCCTCCCGATTCAACATGAGGCTTCAATTTTTGAAGCGACGTGCCGCTAACACTTTATGTTTTGATAATGTGAACAGCACTATGTGATGCTCATAGTATCATTTGCATAGGTGTTTGAGGAGCATTAAAAACGCCCCTCAAACGCCTGCTTTCAAAGTCAGTGTGAACTAGGCCTTACTCTGCTCCCCCCTCCCCTTTACTGCAGACCCCTGGACACCAGAATTTTTAAAGACTCATAACCGCCCTTCAGTGCCTGCCTTGAATATTACAGTGGGCAGCACACAGTGCTGTTCACACAGAAGCAGTAGCGTTGTATTAAAAATTAAGCAGCATGTCGCTTTTGTGAGGGATTGAAGCTTGTCAACTGCCTCCATTGATTTTAATGGTAATGCTCTGTAACCAGCCCTATAACATGTATGGTGTGTTTGTGAAGCATTTATAAAGTGTTAGCTTGGCATTGCGGGAGAGACAGTGGAGGTTCCTGTATCCCAGAATGCACTGGGTAAATAATAGCAAACTACGACAGGGCAGCTCCAGTCACCTCCTGTTTGTACAGAACAGCCATGTCCTAACACCATTTACTTCTGTGTGCAGAAAATCATCAATCAGCCAGCAATACTGACAATGCCAGACAGGAGCAGAGGCATTGAGCATTATTGCCAATGGCAAAGATTTTTGTGTGGGTAAAGCTGAGCTGGACCAGACAAATTGTAAAAGAGATCAAAGTATACAAATCCATCTTGCAGAGAATTCACAAAACTGCTTGCTATCACATGACAACCTAGCTTCACCTCTGACAGATCATTTCATCTACATCACTTCCCACTAGAAAAGAAACACTTTCCTGGGCATTTATCAAGTGCATTTTTAACACTTATTCTTTATAAACATTCATTCTAATGTCAGTTTTCATAAATCAATACATGTCAATGAGCCCTAAGGCTGGCCATACACACTACAATCTGATTGCACCAACCCTGTACAATCTCATTTACAATTAACAAAACCATAGAAGGACAAACCTATTCTATTCTATCCAATCACACAGGATATCCTTATATTACACAGTGGATGGTATGGCCAGATTGTATAGTGTTGCCAGTATTA